GTGTGTGTGTGTGTGTGTGTGTGTGTGTGTGTGTGAGAGAGAAATGAGACTGCAAAAAGTGAACGCAAAAAGTGAACGCTCGTGCAGGTCAAGGAGTCATCCTGGAGGAGGAAATCCTGGTCTCTGTCTGAACCTCACAGCCTTATTTGCCATTTCAGTTTCCCAAACACGTACTACTCCTTCCCACATCCATCTCTATGTCTCTTATACGCCATTTTTATCTTTTTTATTCTCTGTACTAATTTTTAGCAGTGTAGTAATTCTGCCTATGCAACAAGTATACAAATGTTTTTTATCCTCTGAAGAACCTGCATATGCAAAATATTGTTTCAGTCAGTCATTAATGATATCATATATCTACAATATGAGTGTGAATGGTTGTTTGTTTTCGTATGTCAGCCCTGTGGCACAGTGACTTGTCCAGGGTGTGCCCTGGCTCTTGCCACGTCAGCTGGGATTGGCTCCAGCCCTGTCACGACCCCTAAAGGATAAGTGATAAAGATAATAGGAGGCTGAATCATTTAGTTTGATCTTCTGCTCCAATTTTACTCAGACGCTAAAGCTCAGTCCCTTTGAAAACAGTTGTTTATGTCTGTGGGCATGAGGTGTTCTCTAATGTCTGAGAAAATAACCCTGATGGTGCCATCAGATTATCTCATCTTGGGCTTCAGTACTTAAATCTTTAGATTTTGAAACATGGCCATTAATTTTACAAAACAGAAGTGGTATAATTGTGGTCTCAGTGTGAGAGAGAGTAATGTGATCACCATTAGAGTCATCTGGAGGGAGCTTCACACCTTGAGTTTAACTCATGTGATTGATAAAGACATCCCTGCTCCTCTCAGCTGCTCACTGCATTGCCTTAGGTCTCTGGGAAGCTGGTGGCTCATGTGCAACTCATGTGATGCAAGCCTTTTTTCTTTGAGGTGATGGTTATGTGAATGAGAGGATTATAAAAAAAATGTATCATGGCCGTGCAGAAAAATGTTCATGTGTTTTTCCTCATGACATAATTCTTCTGACTCACTGAGCCCAGCAGCCTGGTGAGGCTCAGAATTTTTTTTTTAAATGCTGCTTACCTTTTCTTGCAAATCCTTTGTGTGCTGGCTTAGTTTTCCAGGGTGTGATATTCATACTATTAAACCTTGTAGTGAAAGCATGACTTTAACATTACGGATTGAGTGTCAAACTCTCAGCGGACCTGTGAATCTATATGGCTTTGTCCACATGTCAGTATGTTCAAGCACAACTTTGCTTTACATTTTCTCATATTCTTCTTTTCAGACAATTTAACTTGCGGATGAAGAGGGACACATCTCTATTTTCTCCAGATCTCATCATTGAGGTGTCAGGAGTGGAGTCACCTGTTGATACTTCGCATATATACAGCGGAGAAATCTTTGGTAAGTCGCACACCACATCCTCTTCAGTCTTGTGGTATTTATTTCTTCAATTGAATTTAAAGTCTTTGTCAACACTTCTCATCTCATCACAAGTCTCTCCTTCTGTTCTTCCTTCCGCTCTCCTCCCCTTCACTTCCTGGACGTCTCTCTGTTGCTCATCTACAACTGAGTTAAAAAAAGAAACAGATTTGTATTATTCTGGTGAACACAAACCGGTGTTCTTAATATCTGCATAGAAGTTTCAGAGATGGAAAGTATATTTGTTGAAATCCAGACACATTTTTTAAATCCTAAACAAATTAAATGTGATTTATGTTCACAACCTTTAATTGTTCAACAAATATTGTGATTTCAGGTGACATGTAACATGAGTCCTCACAATTTAGAAAATGTATAAACACTACTAATTTTTATCTTTCTGCAAGGAATTGTGTTTCGTAGTGCGTGTAGGGTATATTTGGATTCAGTTGGATAAGATGTTTTCCCCCTTGATTGGTTAGAAAGACTTAATGTGCCTGAATAAGGTTATTGAACAATTCATTTCAATGCTTAATCGGCTTGAATATTTGGATCAGATGTGTTTTATTTGTATAATCAGTACAGTACAATAATACTTGACCGTTAATTGAAAATTTCTATATTCTTTACAAACATTATATCCTGTTTATTTTTGCTCATCCCTCCTTTCCTTTGTTTCAGGTGAAAAGGGCACATTGACCCACGGCTCCTTGGTTGATGGACGCTTTGAAGGCTTCATTAAAACCCACCAAGGAATGTACTATGTTGAACCCTCAGAGAGGTACCTACAGGACAAGAATGTTCCCTTCCACTCTGTAATCTATCACGAGGATGACATCAGTAAGTATAGTGAAGCCCTTACAGGTAGTTTAAGTCCTTATAATTTGTATGCAAGAGTGGAGTAGATCTGATCTTTTGTAAGGACACAGTCATAGCCTGTCATAACCAGAAGTAGTTTCAAAATACCATTGACAAATTCTGAAAGCAAGATTAAGACAGCTGTGTTATTAAAAAAAACTGAGTTGGTGTAGTGAAAGCTATGGAGGCAGAAATTACATTTCATTAATGGTATAACTATTGGAGTAACCTTCCATTTCTATTATAGAATAAAACTGTGATGTGTTGTAAGGTAAGGGGCTGATGGGGGATGGTATTCATACTGAGGGTTGGGTTGGAACACAACTGAGCGTAGGCATGACTCATAGCCACTCTGCTAAAGGTCAGACTGCAGCCAACAGAGACACTCGCAGACAGGAAACTTCAAGCCTCTCCACCTTCTCCTCGAGATCAGATGACTCTGAATGTATTTGACAGTGATCAGAAGATTATATACAGACAAGGTGTGATCGTGGGTGAACACAATGAAGCAAACGTAGATGAATAAAAACAGTGCAGTAAATCGAGTCTCATGAAGCTCAAGGAACTTCATTTATCAGACAGGTAGTGAGTCGGATATTAACTCAATGATGGATTAAGGCTTCCTGACATTCACTGCAGTTTGCCCAACTGGTTACTTGTGTGCTAACACACACACATGCCTAAACAGACAAATGGAGATTCTTTTGAACAGCTAAATCAATTGCAGGGACAAGAAGCTGTTTGGAGAGTAGGACAGAAAGTTTGCAGCTGATAAGAAGAAAGAGACAACTTTACGCTCTGTGGTTCATCTTCACTTCCCACAAGGAGGTTATGTTTTCAATGCAGTTTGTTTGATTGTCTGTCTGTTTGCAGCAGATTCCACTGAAGGGGTGAACCAAGAATTTTCTTTTTTACTTTGTTTAAAATTGCAAGATATGGCATCAGCCTGGGTGGAGGGATGTGCTCTCCGAGTACCCATGTAAATATACAGTATATAAGGCAATTCTGGAACTGCTCCCATTCTACCGATGTATCTGCATCACACAGAAAAGTTCTAGTACTGTCTGTGTTTATTTTTTCTTTTCTGTACAAAATTCTGCAGAAGTACTCGAAGACATAAATCAAGAATTATGAAGAACCCTCGGGCAAACCCTTTGAGATATTTTCGGAGCCGAAATCTTTAAATGTGGGTTTCCTGATCTTGATTTCTAGTTCTTTTAACTCTGTCTCCCTTTGCAGGTATCTTATCATTTTTTTGTGCTGCTGCCCACTTTGACCACATGTGATTCATGATGCAGAGTAAGCTCTTCACTATCTCACCCTTATCTCCTCCCTATCTGACAGATTATCCCCATAAGTATGGTTCAGAGGGCGGCTGTGCTGACCACTCAGTGTTTGAGAGGATGAGGAAGTACCAGGTGTCGGCAGAAGAGGAGCAAGCCAAAGTATGTACCAACAGAGCCCCTCCCCCTCCTCCCAGCTCATAATTAAACTCACAGATGGACGAGGCTCATGAGATTACAACATCTCATAACTCATTTTCAAACTGCCTTATGCAAACAGGAAGTGCACATGTATATTTAGCATAGGTTCACATACTTTAAATGTAATACCTGCTAATTCTAAATGCTGAAGCCATGCCCAGCCTTGTTAAATATGGCAGTGTGAATTTTCCCCAGGTGCTTTGTGCTAGAAGCAGTAACATGAACTCATGTTATTGTGTAGAGTGTAATCCAGTACTGAGCCTTTTTATCTAGTATCTTTAGAACAGGAAGGCTTGTCTTCTGCATGGTGGCTAAACTCACCAGTCACTATTAAAGCACACTACAGTGCCTTGCAGAATAACAGGCAGCTATAATAAGAGAAAAGGAATCATTGTAATCCTGACTGATGAACATTTGACTCAGTCCTGCACAGTTCCATTTTTTGCAAATCTGCACTCGCCTGCACACGCAAAGCCCCACACTGGACCTTACCCATAATTATCTGTTTATACATGTCCTGCAACCCAACCCATCACTGGTGATTAAACACACATGCTACACATCAGGTCAGTCCCATCAAATGGGTTGTGGCCTCCTGTTTTGATGGACGAGTTGTGTTCCTCAATTGTCGCAGCACCTACGCTCCTGCAGCTGTTGACGTGTTTCCTCAGCAGCTACGTGCCTAGTTGGCGATTATCAAAAATGTTTCCACTTTTTACAAGCAGCAAAGCCACTGAGAACGTATTAATCTCTGGCTATTTTTGTCTTCATGTGATCCATTTTGGGTAACATGTTAATTTGCTGTCAGTAGAGACAGTTATCTGAGAAGAAGTGAGGTGGTCAAATCTGGTGTCACAGGCTTTCACGATAAAATGAATCCTTGCTGTTGACTAGGATTCATATAAGCTGCTTTAGATGTTAAAAATACTGCACAATTTTGATTTCTAATTTCTTACCACAAAAAAACTTAATTTAATTCGCTCCTGCTGTTCCCCTCCCGCGTTTAGTTCACTTTTATTTGTGGCCTTTATAAATATATTTTTATGCCTTACACAACCTATTAGCAGGTACCCGACCAGGTGCAAAACTCATTTCACTAAAATTAACTGTCTATTTCACTCTCCTCACTTTTTGACTGCTTTTTTTTTCTACAGGGGATGAACAACGTGTTGGAGGAGGAGCACGTCCATGGTCCTCTCATTCTGAGGAAGAGGAGGGCAACAGGGAAAGAGAAAAATACCTGCCAGCTCTTCATCCAGACAGACCACATGTTCTTCAAATACTACGGAACAAGAGAGGCTGTCATTGCCCAGGTATGTAACCATACCTACAGTATGCCAACATGAATTCTGTCTAGATGCTTTTTTGCCAGCACCTATAGTACTTCATACTCATCACAGGTCATGTTTTGTCTGTCAAAGAATTATTAAAAACCTGATTAGCTGATGTGTCTCAACAGTCCTTATTTTTCACAAATTTCAGTATCTGTGGGAATGTGAATTGAAAATTACAGATGTTGTCTTTTTCCACTGCTGTAGTTGCTCTCCCACTGATCTTCCCCTCATCACTTTCTCCTCAGATCTCCAGCCACGTGAAGGCTATCGACTCCATTTACCAGGCCACAGACTTCATGGGCATCCGAAACATCAGCTTCATGGTTAAAAGGATCAGGGTGAGCTGCTGATATTTTGAGTGAAGAAGTGTGCTTGTCACAGAACATTGTGGTGTACACATAATCTACTCATTGCAAATATTTGTTTATGCCAAGGACCTATTCATTTGTTCAGGCTGTATATATGACTACCTCTGGAAACCTGTCCCTCTCTTCTTACTTTTCCTCTGTTTTTAACTTGTGTCTTTCAGGTTAATGACACCATTGCTGAAAAGGACCCAAGCAATCCTTTTCGCTTTGCCAATATCGGAGTGGAGAAGTTTTTGGAGCTTAACTCTGAACAGAACCATGATGACTACTGCCTGGCCTACGTCTTTACTGATAGGGACTTTGATGACGGTGTGCTCGGCTTAGCTTGGGTTGGGGCTCCCTCAGGTTTGTACAAAACACAATCACACACGCCCAGCCCAGTGGTGACTTCCTGTGTTGCTCAGAGACATTAACTGGTGCTTTCTAATACATGGACCTACCACAGGCGTTCATTAGTCTTAACTGTCCCCTCTCTATTTGCTTCTAATGCTGCACTTATACTACTCTGCACACTCACACATAACACCAAACATTGTGTTTGGTCATGCCAGTGTCTTCATTTCCTCTTTTTCTGTGTTTTCTTCGGGAGCTGATAGATTTGTTTATAACAATTCGAATAAGCAGTCAGAATCTACAGAAAATATTCATTTTTTGGATATCTATGTATTTAAAAAATAGGTTGCTGTAATATTTAGATATGACTACTACATAGTAGATATAATATTTTTACGTGGTAACGTTTGCCAGGAGTACCTTTATCTGTCTTCCTCTGTTTTGTGGGATTCATGTTGCGTCCTCCCCCACAAACTCAGAATCTATGAATTATAGTTATGTAGGCTTCTCCTGCTTGTTCCTCTGAATACGTTCGTCCGCCACCATCTCGACACGAAGAACACAGCAGCAATCTCAGACAATCAATACAGACAAATTAGCAAAGCGGTAATCTGAAAGAATCGATCGAGGGTTGCGAGCTGTGTGAGGTGAACATCTGAACAAAAGCGACTGTAGAACAAATGACTATTCAGGATACTGGGGAAAATGTGCACTCACACTCATGTACAATTACATATAATGGAGACATTGTTTATTACTTTAAGTGCCCTGCTCTCATGTCTGTGTGGAGGCCACAAGTTGTCTGCTAACCACCATTTGTTGATAATGGGAAACGCCACTGCCAGAGCTGCCAGACAATGCTCCATGATGCACAGACAACTCATCACACTTCATGTCACAGCTTTGAGATTTTTTAATCAAATATTTACTTCTTGGCATTGTGCATCTTCATTTCCTTTCATTTTCAACTTAATATTCCTAAAGCCACTTTAATATGCACACATTATTATGTTTCTAGTGGTAAGTGGTTTACCTGTGTGTAGGGCTGTCATGGAATTTCCAGATTTTAGTAAATTACGGATTAAACAGTATGTAGACTATGAATGAGAACAACAGGCCATCAATGCGTTTGCCACATCAAACATCAAAGTGTAACTTTTAACTTTAACTTTTCAATATTGTTTATTTTAGTTAATTGCTTACTTTTCATCACTATTGTTTTAGACTAGAAGGTGTACATAATGTAGATTGTAGTAGTTATGTATAAAGTTATGTTTATGGCTCATCAGTAATAAACTAGTGTCTAGTTATTTTAGACTATCATCTGGGACACTTGTATCTAACACCACATGTTGTGCATCTTTTTTGATTTTAGACTTTGTGTATTTAAGTGTTAAGATGAGACTAACACCACAGAGACTTGGCTGGGACATTGATCAGTTTGGAAAGAAAGAATAACTTGCTACTCTTTACGTGTACCCTGAAAGGGCACCTAGCTTCAGGATTCAAATCATGACCTCTTGATACCTTTAACTATAACAACATATCTATGAATCAAGAAACCTATATTAACAAAATGTTAAATCAGTGTGATAATCCCCTCTACTCTTTTATTTTGCATTTTCCTGCAACAGGAAGCTCTGGCGGCATCTGTGAGAAGAGCAAACTGTACTCTGACGGAAAGAGGAAATCTCTGAACACTGGTATCATCACTGTGCAGAACTATGCCTCCCATGTCCCTCCCAAAGTGTCACACATTACCTTTGCTCATGAGGTCGGGCACAACTTTGGCTCTCCTGTAAGTACTGTGAATTCAAATACTGGTTTTGAAACTGTGTACCATGTGCAGCTCTGTCTCAAGTCATTTTAACCAATTCTCCTTAACATGCCTTCTGTTTTTCAGCATGACTCTGGAATTGAATGCACCCCAGGAGAGTCAAAGTTACAGGACAAAAAGGAGCAGGGTAACTACATCATGTACGCCAGAGCCACATCTGGAGACAAGCTCAACAACAACAAGTTCTCTATCTGCAGCATCCGCAACATAAGTGCTGTGCTGACGAAGAAGAGAGACGACTGTTTTGTTGGTAAATTCTCTCTCTCATAAACATATTTATTCCTGTCTGTGAGAGAGAGTTTCTGTGTTCATGCTTTAGTGTTTGTGTGTGCAGAGTCTGGCCAGCCTATCTGTGGTAATGGACTCGTGGAAGCTGGAGAAGAGTGTGACTGTGGCTACAGCGATCAATGTAAGGACCCCTGCTGCTATAACGCCAATGAAGAGGATGGTAAAAAGTGTAAACTCCAACCTGGCAAAACCTGCAGGTCAGATGTGATAAGCATTTTTCTGTACAGTGCTGTATTATTTTGCTGTCCTCTTAAAGCATGTGAAATGTTTGATTGCAAGTTTGTCAATTTCTTTCTACAGTCCAAGCCAAGGCCCATGTTGCACAGCAGAGTGCACTTTCAAAATGACAAATGACAAGTGCCGACAGGAGTCCGAATGTGCCAGAGAGGGCACATGCAATGGAGCCACGGCTCTGTGTCCTGCCTCAGAACCAAAGGAAAACTTCACATCTTGCCATTCAGAAACACAAGTCTGCCTCAATGGGGTATGCTGGTTTAAGTTGTTTGTGAGCTTGTGTTTGCATTTAAAGTAAAAGGTTAAGTAAACGTGTTTTCTTGCTACCTGCTTTTTCGGACCAGGTCTGCTCAGGTTCCATTTGTGAGAAGTATTCTCTTGAGGTTTGCACCTGTGCCAGCCAAGATGGCAAGGATGAGGCATCTGAGCTGTGCCACGTGTGCTGCATGGAGAAAAGTGAGTGACAGGCAGCAGGACTCTTCAAGAGCCAGAAAAACACAGCAGTCATTAACATTAAGTTAGAATTGTGTGATATATGATATAAGCTACTATCAGGGTTACTTGTTAGTTCTTGGGTACTATCTGGAGCTAGTGTCAGTATCTCAAAGGTCTTCCCCTCTTCTTCTGCCCTCAGTGAAACCCAGCACCTGCAGCAGCACAGGCTCAGAGAAGTGGGAAAAATTCTTCAACAAGAAGATCGTGACACTGCAGCCTGGCTCACCCTGCAATGACTTTAAGGGCTACTGCGATGTGTTCATGAGGTGTCGTCTGGTGGATGCCGATGGGCCGCTGGCAAGGCTAAAGAAAGCCATCTTCAATGCGGAGCTCTATGAGAATATCGCAGAATGGATAGTGGTGAGTGCAGTAACTCTCTCCAGCACAATGACATAAATACTAATACAAGTTGGTTCTGCTGAGCTTCTCGTCTTTATTTTATTTATCCATTGTTTTCCAGGATCACTGGTGGGCAGTGCTGTTGATGGGCATTGCTCTTATTATGCTAATGGCTGGTTTCATCAAGATCTGCAGCGTCCACACCCCCAGCAGCAACCCCAAACTGCCCCCACCAAAACCACTGCCAGGTACAGTACACATACATTTATATTTGTACAGGAAGATGAGTGACAGGCAGACAGATCACAGCAATCATTGACTGTATTTGACTGTTACTGAGATGTGTCTGTTCTGTAGGTACACTGAAACGAAGAAGACAACAGCAAGCAAACCAACAGGCCCAGGGCCAGCGCCCACAACGCCAGCACAGAGAGAACTATCAGATGGGACAGATGAGACGCTGAGACACTGGTCAGCTCTTTGCCTTAGTTCTTCCTAGTGCCTACAATGGGAGCACTTCACTCCAAAGAGTTACATTTACCAGAACATTCAAAGAACTTGTAACTGAAACATTTTCACTGGACAAAAGCCTGAAGTTTAAATTTTTTGATAGTTTAGTTTTTTGGGCCGAATAAACTTGCTAAGCTCCTCTGCTCTGAGAGCCAGATCAGCAGTGGTTCACACAGCTTTTATTGGAAATATTTTTTCCAAGGAGGGACATGAGCAGAAATTCACTGCTCTGTTATGTGGTCTTAATCGTTTTTCTTTTTGTTTTGAGGAGAGAAGCAGCTTTGTGTCAGAGTTTGCCTTCCTCTGTCTGTGCAACCTTTTTCTTTCCTGTTCTTCCTCTCCAAAGTGCTGCCATCATCAGCACAATAGCAGGACTGCAAGTCGCATGAGTTTTTTCCACCAATCAGAAACAACAGAGACATTTTCTTGGAATAAAAAATATATAATTGCCAATGTAATTAGATTGTTTAAAAATCAAAACACTATCAGAAACTGAAGCTTTTCATTTCTAAAGCAAACATGTTCCTTCAGTGTGCAATTGTACAGATGTGACAGTCGATTTTTCTCCTTCGAATGAACCTGATCGTCTGTATGATGAAGATTATTATTGTTTTAATTCACTTTCTCAGGATTATTAACACAACAGCAAACATGTGTGTTGGGTGGGAAAGATGGCTGCATGCATATTTCAGGGTAAAGTCCCTCCTGGCTGATGCCTGTGCAGAAGGGTTAGTTGTTGGTGAAGAAGATGTAGATTATAGAGTCATCTGTCGCAGATGGAGGGTTGTGGCAGGGGAGATATATTTTCTAGATATGTATTTTTCTTGTTGTCATGGTTCTGCAGCTGTGTTTACATAATAGTCTTTAGTCTGGGGCTGGAATAAATGGTGAGAGAATATATAGCTTTTATCAACCTGATTGTATCAAACTTTTAACTTTTACAAACTCGTAGTCTTTAAGAAAATAATATCTGTTGAAACCACTCTCGGCTGGTTGGATCCTCTCGGTCTCTGTAGCCAGATGAAGAACCTCTCGGGTTTAAATGTGATTGTGGATTTTGCTTTTATTGCTTTTTACTTGCAGTTCAGATTATTTTGTATATCTGGAAAAGTTGACTCAACTGAGGGAAACTAGAGATTCTAATTTTATTGTTGTTGCTGTTGCTGCTGGTAGCGGACACTTACCAGAGTGAACAATCAATACGTGTCGGCCATTTCTTCCTCTGTTCTGTCGTTTTTCTACTGATTGGGATTTTCTCAAGGCACCTTGTTATCCTTATTACGCCCCTTGGTTTATCTAATTACATTAAAAATGTGCCTACCCAGAATAGTGTGACTGAAATTGGTGAACTAGTGTCAGGGAGCTTTACTTAGGCTGGAGCAGCGCAGTGCTGGATTGTTCATTTGTTGTGTGCACTGCAGAAACTGAAAGATGAAATGTGCTCGAAATGATGAGGCCTAGGACAACGCATGATTATCACAGGAAATGTAAAGGATGATTGATTTACACACAACCAAATGTTACCAACATAGAATTTCAGATTATATTCCACGGTTTCAGCTTGTAATTAGTATTTACTTTCTATGGTATCATATTAATGTCCAGCCCTGCTTTGGCTTAATTTGAGTTTTCAGTTGTCGTCGGTCACCTTCACTGACAGATTGATGAGAGTTGCGTTACTGGCAAATATAGAAATAAATATATATATAGTTTTTTAAAGTTATTTTATGAGGGAGAACTTTGTCAAAGGATACTTATATATCTCGACCTTGTGAAAGAGTTGTATGAAGCACAGCTACAGCTCCACATTGTTTTCTGTGCAGGGTGCGAGGATGTTGTTAAAATCAGATTCTATGCAGACGGTCACACAGCACTAACGTTGGCCTCTTCACAAAGAAATGCCTTCATCGATTTCTTTCTCCTAGATGAATGCGTGAAGAAATTCTATTGTGTTTTCATAACAAGATAGTTTTTCATGCTACTGCAAAGTTTGCAGTGCAACCCTCTATTGCTTCTTTTGCTGATTCTGTTTGTTGTTTGGTGCTACGGGGTCAGAGCCTGAACTATATTCTTGATTCTCTTTGACTTGTGTTCATGTGTGTGTGTGCGTACGTGTGTCTTTCCTGAATCATCGTTTTCTCTGTGTTGCTATGGTATGGTGTGGACAATATGTGGGTGTTTAGGGTAAATACTCTGGGAAAATTCTTCTTTGCTTTCACATTTCTGTGATGTTAAGAAAACGTGCACTGAAGTGTAAGAGGTGTAAACTGAGACTCCAAACCAGTAAAGGTTCAGAACTGCTGTCTGATTTTAATGTCTTCTGTGTTTTATACAGTGTCTTTTTGTTTTGAATTTACTTATTTTGTTCTGTTTCCCCAACACGCTTACTTTGAAAATTTTACAAAATTTGCAAAGGTATTGTGCAAATATATGATTTTTCTTTGAACTACTTGAAATACATTAATAAAACATAATTGATCAAAGGTTTGTGTTCTCTGTTGGTTCTCTGTTGATAATATAATAGCAAAAGGTACCATGACATGTTGTGTGTGTCTTTTAAGACAAGTTTACGATTGAAATGTTTTTTACAAGTTTCCTTCTTCTCAGTATAAAGTTTGACAGTAGCGGAGGTGGTGATTGGTCGGATCCTGCAGCATTTGGATCTTCTCATGCAGTCAGACAGGATGGTCTGACATGAGCTCACGTTAACTGTCTCTGTGATTAAACCTGAGTTTACTGCCTTCAGTTTGCCTTCAGCGAACCCCTCTGGGGTCACCACTCGCTGAATACTACCATTTGGATCTTTCTGCTGAATTTCTGTTTACTGACTGAGCTTTGACTTTTATTATTTGTTGGACATTAACTCAAACTCTACAGTTCACAAGTTCTTGTTTGTTGTCCTCTGTTATCTTGTGACAGTCTGGTTCTGAGTTTGTCAGTGTTTAAATAAGATCCACCTTCACAGATGAGGAGAGAAAGCTCGGACCACCAGATAGAATAGAAAAGAAGTGTAGATTTATTGCTTTGGTATGATTTTGAGTCACAATATATTCATATAAAGTTATTGGCAAGACTTGTGTATGTTTTTAAATTATGAGATTGATAATTTTACATAGAAAATTACACACTTTAAAAAAACAAAACACGTACACTGCATTAACGTCATCAAAAGGTTGTTGAACTTCTGACTTTGTTCACTGTCTGGTTAATATTTAAATTGGCAAACTTTCAACTGTTTAAGAAATGTGTTTGTGGACAGAGATGTAAATCTGCACATGCTGGACTCTAAAAAATGATATCATATATTCAAACATCAGATTGCTGTAAATTGTAAACACAGTTTACAAACATTGCTAGTTTGCTTTCTAGCCTCAGTAACACTATTTGTAATATTAGTTTAGTGCCACATCTTTCAAAAAATACAATGAATATTTTCTATTGTGCTCCCTAAATCTGCACAGCAGAATCTCATCCCGTTGTGACCTGGTGGAACACCCTTTAGAGATCTTGAGTCTAGAACATATTGAAGGAACCCACACAGGTCTACTGGTTGAGCTTTCTTCTGCGCTGTCTTGGCGTCTCGTCTTTGCAGCGCACAAACACTTTATCTTGTGACAGCTCGACATGTTGCTCGTTGTCTGTCATGGCACAAAAAGAGGTTCTGGAAAACAAAAACAATGTTGGCATGAGTGGGACCTGTGGTTAGGAAACAATCCACTAGGTGGCGTTAAAAGACTGCGATAGTTAAGATGTGGAAGGTTTTTTTA